GTTCGTGTAATGGTGACAAAAGTAAGAACAGGAGACAGTACTGGAGAGCTTGTCGTCGTTGAAGATTCTGTAGACGATAGAGTAGAGATGGCCAATGTCGGCAGCATGGAGAAAGAAATCGTAGAAACATCAGCGATAGTTGAGATGGATGTACTCGTGGTCGACGAAGGCGTTGATGAGGTCGGTACATTCGTTGGCCTGGAGTCACTTAGAGTCGTCAATGAGGCTGCTGCAGCGTCTACTGTAGGCTTCGGTTGGTTCTTTCCCGGCATAGGCTTATCCACTGTCATCGCGGAAGTTGAAGAGATTACCAGCGAACTCTCAGGGGTCGCGAGAGGCGTTCTGATAGGTGCGGTCACCAACAGAGGAGCTTCTACGGAAACCAAGATAGTCAGTGTACGTCTCACATATATTTTGTATGCCCTAGATTTACCTTGATTCATTCCAGGAACCGTTACCAACGAAGGGTCACCTTGGTTCATGCCTGGAAGCGCTTCTTCGTTTATCTTTACGCCAGAGTCTGCCAGAAATGCTGGCACTGTAGTTGAAGCCGTTTGTATGGTGCTGGTTCCATTCATGGTACTGACATCTACCTGAACGGCAAGGGAAGGTCTGGCGGTAGACTCTACCAACTCAGGTAGAATAGTTGAGCTGGCATCCATCGATAGCGAAGGTGCAGAGAGAACTTGGAAGGTCGTTTCTTGAGTATTGGCAGGTGTCGGTATGGCGGAAGGTGAGGACTGTTCGGATCGCGAAGTCGACTCTTCTTCCATTCCGGTGGGTTGGTTTGTTGGCGGTGGTCGTTCCCACCGTCCGTTCATGTCCGCATCCGATTGTTGAAGTCTTGTCGCGCCTCTGCGCGAATCCGTATCCTCAATCTTTCCATCCTGACCTTCAACTACGATGGACGTAGCTGCCATCCTTGGAACATTACGGTGTACCAGCACCGGTGGGATCTCATATGGTCTGCTTGGTGCAGCCATAGCAAGGTGGAGTTTCCATAGAGGCGATGAGCATTCATAGCATACGATGGTGTTGAAGCGGCAGTAATGCGGGCTCCAGACCCCAGCCGGCTAACAGTGGTTCCATACAGAAAGTACGAGATCCCAGACCCAAAAACGTGTTAAAGCGGGTGAACGTTTCGGCCTGGACAACAACCACGGGCGATGGTTGGTCGGGAGAAAGTCCGCTGCGACCTTTTGTTACCAAACATGGTGATCACGATCCCTGCACCATGAGGATCCGTGGCTTTTTTGAGACCATGGGGTGCACCAGTCCGTTCCTTTGGGAGATCGTGTCCACTTGATGCGGGCTCTCCAAACGTGCGCTTGTTTCGTAGAGGAAGCGAAAGTTTACGGCGACACTCGAAACGCAGCGCATGCAGCGGGAACTTCGAGACCGGTCTGAAAGCTAAGTGCCACTAGGATGGCCGCGTGGTATGGAGATGATTCATGGAGAGGGTCCGGTTGATGATACAAGAAAAGGAATGGTAGCCTTGCTGTCAGCTCATATAGATCAGGTAGCTTGTATTTTGGGTAAAACACCAGCATATTGATGATTCCTACCACGAAAGTCTTTGCCAGCTACTTATGTGTTGCTCGCGATTGGAAACAGCAGCAAGATGTAGCTCTTGATTATGGAATTGCCGCGACATGTTCGAAGTTGCCAATACGAGGTGTCCTAACTCCGATTGCGCAGACTCATGCGACAACCGTAGCTGCGCCTGGTATCACTATTCCGGCAGGCCCTGCCAATAATCCACCGAGGCTTAACCCAGAGAAGTTTTCGCGTCTAGGATTCGCGATGTTCAGTAAGAGGACGATAAGGCTGAATGTTTAGCTCGCGGTAGTATCGGAACCGCGTGCGTCCCCAAGGCCTGTGGCACGGCAGAGTGGATCAGTCCATCATCCTTCCGAGTCGATGATGCTTGCCGTGCGCCACCTTGGTCCTAGATCAATAGTCTCTTCTCGTATACCCGGCATGCGTGGTTCTGGCATGTTTTCAATATGATAGTCGCGTGTACATAGCCGCTGTTGTTGTTCTTTTGCACTTGTACCTCCCGAATGGCAGCACGCGACGCTTCGGATCCCGTGGTTCCGGAAACCATCGACCTCGAGCATGGGACGAAACGCGACCACAACCACGATCGAGTTACACCGAGTGGCCAGAGCATAGAACTGGTCGCACCGCATCGCCAGTCCCGTCATAGCCCGCTATGGACAAGCAAGTTGAGAGAGCGCACGCCAGCACCTGTGGCCCGTTGGAGCCGGAAGGTTGTCGAGTGGGTGAAGGGGCCGAAGCCATCGAGCAGGCACACGATTACGCCTTTGCTTGAGCGCTGGCAAACACTGCCTGTGCGTGTGCTCGCGCGGTTGCCAGAATGGGCGCGCTTTTGCATATATGCAGCAGCATGTGTTATCTGGATTGTCGTCTTCGCTGTAGTCATCAGTGACGGTGGGCTTCCCTCTGACATTGGAGGATTTGGGGCGCCTGTAAAGCTATCATGTGTCAACAACCTGTGGTATGTCTCCTCGTCTTATACCCCAAGCTGCGATGACTGTACTGATCGTCGCCAGGCCATCCCCAGAAAGCTGCGGACCCGACGGCCGTAATTGCTTCCCCTTCTCCAACGCTTCGTTCGCTTTCAACTGCCCCGCCGGATGCTCGAGCGCCCAAGTGCTCAACCCTCGCGCAATCGGACCGCAAGTCGTAAACTACCGATCCTTGGTCGTTGGAGGTGCTCCAGAGTCTGGCGATAATGCCTTGGTATACCGCGGAGACTCGTTCATATGCTCAGCGGCTATACACGCTGGAGTCATCGGCAATGGCAATGGCGGTTGTGGTGTCCTCTCTTTGATAGGAGAGCGAGACAGCTTCGGCGCTGTGACACGCCATGGCATAAGCAGTATCGGCTTTGACTCGCACTTCCCAATGGCCTTTACCTTTGGTGAGGCTTCGGCCAAATGTGAGGATCCGCGCTGGAATCTGCTTATCCTTTCGACCGTCTTTACTGCTCTATTCGGCATCTTCACCACGAGTCCTGCAGCCTTTTTTGTGCCCATCTTCACAATACTGTTCTTCCAGACTGGCATGGCATCGGATCCGCCTTCGTATTCAAACTACGCGTCTTTGGCCTCTACAACACTCGGTCGCTTCTTGCCTGCTGCATTAGCTGCAGCCCTGTTCTATCGGTTTAGTATTCGCAAATCTTTGCGTAGTTGTAAGGCGCAAATCGAGAAGACCGTACTTTGGGTAGGTGGGGCTTGGGTCGGCGCACTTGGGAACTACACGTTTGAACGTATACCCATACAGCGGCTCACAGGACATGACATTCAGCAACAGCCTGGTGCTATCACAGCATTAGTAATCATTGTGCTCATTCTGTTTGCTGTCGTTCTGTACCAAACATGGTGCTTCCGCAAAGAAGGACGACTGCCACGCTATCTTGCACTATATGCCACATTAGGCATTAGCCTGGGTATACTCGCTGCTATGCCAAAGCTCACACTCAGGATACACCACTACATAATAGCGCTCTTGCTCCTTCCAGGCACTGCGATGCAGACGCGAGTGAGCCTGTTGTGTCAAGGTCTGCTGGTTGGACTGTTCGTTAATGGTATTGCACGCTGGGACTTCGACTCCATCCTACAGACGGCAGCGGCGTTACGAGGAGATGGCCAGCTCGGATCTGGCATCCCAGCCATTCTTGAGCCTGTTATCAATGGCTCGAGCATCACCTTCGCATGGGGAAACTTACTCCGCGGATACCAAGGCGTGAGTGTAGTGGTTAACGATGTGGAAAGATATCGGGGCTCTGGTGGAAGCGACCAAGGTAACTTCACTTGGAGTCGGTCAGACGACGAGAAAGATGAATACTTCCGGTTTGGATTCGTTAGCTACCAGTTGTTTGGCAACGTAGCATATAGCGACTTTACTAGAGCAGGCACATGGTTCTCGAATGGAACCTGGGGTGAAATTCCGCCAGGTCGTACATGAATAGAACACGAGTGACATAGCTTTCATACAATTCATGTGCCCTCTTCATATATACACTGCGTATAAGACAACGTTGCAAGACGCGAACTACATCATCGTGTGCAATGACCATTGAGTACTAGCGCGTTTACGTCACCGTTCAAGACATGGAAACCTGGTAAGACAGGCTTCAAGACAGGTGATCGACATGCTGTAAGCGGTGATCTAACGGTTATACAGAAATACCTTGGCCAGCCATATCGCCCATCATACCCCCCTCTGCGACAAATCAAGTCTGGTCTAGAGTGTTCTTGTCTCTTTTGGGAACCATGACGTCACACCAACGAACCGAACTGCTTGAACGACCACGCCTGCAAGCACTAGCACTAGTAGAATACCACAAGCACGATGCATTCTCTCCCTCGGAATTCCTACTACTTGTGACCCTTACCTTACACTTTCCGCAGCCTCCACGGCATGGATTCAACCGCAAAGCGCGAGGCGCCGGCCGCTTCTAAACGAAAAGCTGTCCCGTCGCCGACCACACCTACGCCATCGCTTGAACCAGAGCGAGAGCTCACTAGTAGACTAATACCGAACGCTTTTCTCACCGGAACCCTCTTGGCAGCTCTGTCTCTCTCCTGGCCACTGCGATGGGTCATCTCCGGAGCGCCCATACTGATCTACGCTATCCTGCTAGGCGAGGCGTATGGTCATCGCATCTTACCCTTCGTTCCAGTCTGGACCATATTTGCAACAGTAAACCTAGTTTACGCTGTATGTGCGACTTCATGGCTTCTATACTGGGTATTTTGGGCCTTCTGCTGGCCTGTACTCTTCGTCACCTGCCTCTTTCAATTCGACGCACCTGCTGCACTGGCACGCCGCACTCTGCGAAAGACGTTCCTCCGAGATCTCCACTTTATCAACGATCAGGTAGCCTTCTTCGACCTTCCTGCGTTGGAAATCGATACCGAGGTCAAAGGACTGTTCGTCATCCGCGGGTTACGCTCTCACTCTCAACAATGACACTTGTTGCTCATGGAGTTGAAGCCGGCATAAAGCTCTCGGACGACATCGAACTTGGCATTCAAGTTGACAAAGTTGTTGTACCACTCTTTCGAGAGATAACCGTCGACGACGTCTATGCGAATGTCAAGGGTGGAGACTGGGAAGTCACCTTCGGAGACGTCCAGTACGGCGTCCCGGAGCCAGACGACGACGATTCTGTAGTCGTTACCAACACGGCTATCCTTAGAGCAGCGACGATGAAAGGGGGAGCCAATGGTCGCCCGGCCGATATGGTCAGGAATCTTACGGCTGGCAAGATACCGACTGAGGCTGAAGATACCGCATCCGCATTCTCGTCCGTTAAGAAGATATCACCAGATGAGGAGCGCGCTCATACAAAGTACAAGGACCTGGTCCGCTATATCAACGACACAAGTGCCATTACAAAGGCGAAGCAGCAACTGGTAGAGGCCTCGAAAGCACGAGATGAGGCTGGCTCAACAGATGATGAAAAAGACCCCAAAGATGCTAAAAGGTCAAAAGAAGAACCGGGCGTCCGCTTGGACATTGATAATATGGATGACTTCAGAGCAGCAATCTGTACCCAGATCCATGGACAACCCTCAATACCTCATCCACCTACCAAATCGATCAGAGTCTCCACCCTTCGGAAAACATCGTACCCAAACGTAAAGAAGTTCCTACATCGACTGCCCTTCCTCTACCGCTTGATGCTCAGTCCTATTTGTTACTTCCATCCTGTCAAGTTCAAGTCCATTACTGCAGCTGGATCAGGAAAGTGGTTCACAGCCCTGATGCAACAGTATTTCTTTAAGCATTACTCGTCCCAAGACGCCGAGATTCGTAGATTGGAGGCGCGGATATCGGCCTGGTGTGCAGATGCCAATTTCGCCGTAGAACTAGGCCCCATGGCTAGCGAAGCCTCCTTCCCCATCAACACTAATTACAACATCCAGACCCACTTAAAAATCTCAGATGTCATGGCTTACAGAATACTCCCTGATGCCGTCGAACTTAAGCAAGTTGTGCGATTAGGAGGTGCCGATGCTATTCTCACGATTCCGACATTCCTGTTCCCTCACCATGAGCACATCTTCCCAGAGAAGAAGAGTGACTTCGACCTATTGGAGATGGAATCTGCCATCAAAGAAACTGAATCTACTCCAAAGCAGATCCAAGCTCTGAAAGAACTTGAGAAGTTAAAGAGAGACGAGGCATCTATGCACGTCAGCGCACACGCTCACCTCCCGGCGCAGTTTCACCAAGATCTTCTCAACTTCGTCGCCGCAATTGTCAAAGCCACCAAGGTCATCGAGTCAGACAAAGACTTTGAGGAGGCAAAGGTTTTACGCGAACTGAAGCGCGTCAGCACGACTGATAGCGAAGCAAGCAGTCTTGCGTCGATTAATACCAACAATAGCGAAATGTCGCAGACCACAGTGAATGGCAATGAGGACAAGAGCTTCAAAGCATTTCTCAAAAAGGTGGACACTGGTTTCAAGGAAGCGTCGAATAAGACTATGGTGGGCATGCGCAAAGCTGGTCAGAATACTGTACATGCCATGGCTAACGATCGCTGGATCGCACGGCTGGTAGGCAAGGTGACGAGGAAGTTGGAAAAGGCGCAAGGTGAACTGGGGTATAGTGCAGAGGTTCCGATTGCTCTGGCCAAGTACCGTGAGCGACATGAGTTCGAGCAGAAGCTCTTACCCTAAAGGAGATGGACGTTGGGGAGACAGTTGATGACTTGCATGATACCCCCCTAAGACTCTGTATGTTCGAGTAGTCTACTTTATAAGAAAACATTAATCGTTGTCTACCCAAAATCAGAACGACCGATATGGAGCTTATGAATTCAGAAACACATCGATCGAGTTGTATTGCTAGATTCATGACGGCATTCTCAGACTTTCGACCATTTCAACAAGACTGCCGCCAACACTACAGGCAGCACGCTGACCAGTTCTCCAAGACCCGCAAACTCTGGCGGTATCCTCGCGTGCACAAACGCGCCCGCACCTAACAGTACAGCGAAAGTATTGTACACGAAGCTCCAACTAAAGTTGAATACAATTCTGTGTATCGCCTTCCTACTCACATTGATTATGGTTAGTACGCCCGAGAGGCTAGGACGGACGAGAACGACATCGGCAGCAGATTGCGCGATATCAGTACCGCTTGATACATGGACACCAATTGTAGCTTGAGCGAGGGCAACGGCGTCATTGGTCCCGTCGCCGACGAACATGATAACCGGCTTGCGGGATTTGCCAGTCGCTGGAGCTGTCAAAGGTGCTGCGAGGAGGTTCTTGATGTAAGTTTGCTTGTCTGCGGGTGAGTAGCGAGAGCGAACATTGTCTTCTGAGACGTTGAGCTGCGAGGCAATCTCTTTAACAGCGCCATCGTCGTCGCCAGACAGTACATGGACGTTGATGCCGCTGCGTCGGAGATGATCGATGGTAGATGCTGCGTCGGGCCGTAGCGTATCTTGCAGACCGAAGATGGCTACTAGTGTATTGTCGATGGTGAAGCAAAAAGTGGTGAAGCCTTGAGATAACATGGAGCGGACGCGTGGATCGTCGGAAAGCGCAAGCCATCTCGAGTTACCAGCGCGTAGCTTCTTGCCATGGATCGTTCCCTCGACGCCCTTGCCAGTTACCACCTTGGCGTCTGATATGGTTGAAGCTGGTAGTCCCTGCGACGCGAGACGCGTTGCGATGGCCGCCGACACGGGATGTCTGATGTTTCCGAGCAAGCCAAGCAAAAGTGACTTGGCTTCCTCTGCACCACCATACTCAACATACTCCTCGTGCACTACCTCCAGCTTTCCTGCTGTCAAGGTGCCCGTCTTGTCGAACACTACATCCGTCGTTCTGTATGCGACTTCGATACTGCCAGCTGTCTTGAAGATCACCCCACGCTTCGCGGCGACGCCGGATGCGATGACGATGACCATGGGAACCGCGAGACCGATGGCGCAAGGACACGAGACAATTAGGACTGTGATGGCATACGTGATAGCTTCTATGGTCGCTTCTGAGCCAGACTGATGCCGTATCGCAACCCCAATGGCGACCCAGATGACGAAAGTGATGATTGTCAAGGCCACTACTACCGGGACGAAGTAGCTGGCCACGGTGTCGGCAATCTCTTGGATCTTGGGCTTGGAGAGCTTTGCTTCGTCAACCATACCCGCAATCGTCGTGATGGTATTGTCGCCAGGCAGACGGGTTAGGCAAACAGTAAGCGTTCCGCTCCCATTGATAGTTCCTGCGATGACAGCAGATTTGGTGTGCTTCTCTACAGGCTGAGACTCGCCGGTCAACATTGATTCATCAATCTCCGAAGAACCTGAGATGACGGTGCCGTCCGTCGGGATGCGCGAGTCTGGAGCGACCTTGAAAGTGTCTCCATATTGCAACAGCCTGGCATCGATCTCTTTTTCTACTGCATCGTCATCGACCAGGATGGCAGTGGGGGTTTGCAAGGAACGAATACTGATGGACTCTGCCGCCTTTTGACGCGCTAACGATGCCACCCAACGTCCGACCATGATGAGTGTCACCAGTAGCGTACTTGTCTCGAAGAACTCGCCCGTCGACAGCGGTTTCCCGCTGACCAGGTAGCCGAACGAAACGACAGAGAAGATGTACGCGGCGCTTGTACTCAACACAATGAGCAAATCCATCTCAATGACCTTGGAGAACACCAGAGCCTTGAGCGCTTTCGGGTAGAAAGGGCCAGCGATGACAACTTGGACAATAGTTGCGAGCCCAAGTGACGCAGAGCCATATGCAATTTCGCGCTCCGGAAGAGGAGCCCATGCCATGACCAATACAGGAATGGTTAACATGGCAGAGAGCAATGTCAACAAGCCCATGTTTCGAACATGTCTGCTACCGGCCTCCAAGGAAGAGTCGGGACACGGTGGTGCAAGTTGTAACGACTGACTCCAGTCGTCACCCATCAAGTCTCTCGCTCCTACAATCTTCGCGTCGTAATCGACACGGATGGTCTGCTTGTTTAGGCGACGCACGTCCACTACGCCGTCTGGCCACTGTCCGTTGACCAAAGCTGCAGGGTCTCCCGAGCAGATAAGATCCAGACTACAACCCTGATTTGACACTATCTCGCATTTGAACTCCGTTGTGCGATGGAGGTGTTTGACGACATCGTCGACGGTCGCAAGGCTGGTATTGATGTCTAGCTCGAGGCGGGCGAGGACCAGGCTGGTCTGGAGTTTGCTGACGTAGTCTAGACTACCTAGTGTTCGCTGTAACTTTGTCTCACACCCTGTGCAGGTCATGCCAGATACGCTGATGACGACATGTTCACGTGTGTCCCCGCCTTTCTCAATGTCGACGTTATCCGAACTGCTCACGACTTCGGTTGTGTTGACGAGAGTTAACTTCTTGTCGGTGTAGCATTTCGATGCGTTTTTAGGCGGACAGCATGATGTTTTGGTCCTGGTAGTTGCGCATGCTTTGGGTGGTGAGGTGTAGCAAGATGCTTTCGGTGCTTTCGTGGTAGTCTCTGTACAATTAGTTCGTTTAGGTTCGCAATAGCTGCTGACACATGTGTCTTCAGAGACACTCTGTATATCGTCTGCACAGCAGTCGTCTTTCATGTTGGCAGTACAAGCAGGTGCTGGATCAGCCCTGCTTGAGCTGCTGCTGCTGCTGCCACACGCCCTCGTCTCCGCTTCGACCGGCGAAGATGATTTGCGACACGAGCTTGTTGGCTTCGGCTTCGCCGGTCCTGTTGATGAGCAGCATGAGCTGGTAGGCTTTGGTTTCACAGGTCCTGGCGTTGAACAGCAAGAATCGGTCGACTCCTGTTTTGTAGGCGCCGACGAAAAACAGGGAGAGTCAGATGCTTTCGAACCCTGAGAATCCAATGGCTGACAACAGGAACTAGCTGGCTTTGGTATCCCAGGCGCTGAAGTTGAGCAGCAAGAAGTGCTTGGCTTGGGGTCTGTTGCTGGCTCTGATGAGGCGCACGGAGATTTCGCTGTTTCTGATTCTGCAGGCTTTGAAGGTGAGCAGCATGAACTGTCTGGTTTCGTTGCCGCATACTCAGGGTTGGGGACAGTAGAGCAAGAGGCCGTAGGCTCGGGGTCGGGATCGGAAGGTGCGAGTGTTGCATCCACTCTAGGTTGCGTCACCGCTATCACCTTACTTTTCGTTTCTGTCGGTTGCTCCGTGAGAATTTCAGGAGGAACTTTAGGCTTGACAGTAGTTTTGGTTGTATTTTTCGGACCACAGCAACCTCCTCCGCAGGTCATGATGAGGTTGTGGTTGACGAAAGTATAATACTGAAAGGATCGCGCAGTGTAGGTTAATAGGCAAATAGTCTTGTTCTTGCACTTCCCTGAGCATATAAGGAGCAACGGTTACTCTTGTACATAAGAGAGTGGCGATATTTTTGGTGAGGTTACAAACGATATGTTACCTAACGTTGATATCGATATGTCATCGACAGGTGAACTCGATATGTCACTGCTTCCAAACTTGGCGCCGGCTCTGCACTTTCGTTTTCCTAGCTCGGCATCACAAAAGTTGGTTCTGCTCACCGGTCTAGATCTATAGATCTTCGCATTGACTGGTGCAGGTAGCATTCCAGGGTTGTATGCACTGCGAGAATACGCCATACCTTCTGCTAGCCTAGATTATGGGGAAGGCGCAAGCCATGCGCAGGATCTACCTACGTTATAGTTGATTTGCAGTCTCCAAGCAACAATTCATGGTAATGTGGAGATGATTTGTAGGTATTGTTTCTTTCCACCAACTGCTAAAGAGTTTGTGTCTCTGCCCCACTATACTCATGCCTGTTCGACCTCAATCAAGCTGTCTTGCGAATGCTTGACACTCCAGACACCCACAATCTCGAGACCAGGTTCGGGTGACTCCACCATTTGACTCCATTGAGAAATTCTCCTCTCCTTCGAAGAGAAGAGTATAATCATCATCATATCCAATGTCGTGGCCTGCCAGCCCGCGTCCTTGTCCGGAATAGCATTCTCGTTTATCGGAAGTTTACGGTAGTCTTTCTCGTGGCGCCGGCGACCTGCTTTAGGATGCTCTTGCATACATTGTCGGGCCAGTCATGCAGCACGGAGTGCATGTAGTATACTCAAGTCGCCTTCAACGGCTGTTCAAAATGAAAGCCGTACTCCATAGTCTCAATAGCAAGAGGCACTAGGTGATCCTTTGGTGTATGTCTGGTGGATACTTGGTAATCCTGTTTGGCAGCGTCATCATAATCTTCGCTCAATGCACGTCGACTCCATCGCATGGGGACTTTTCCGCCCAAAGCACCTGTTGGAGTCCATGGATTCTGAGATACTATGCAATCGTAGCCGGAAGTATATATTCTACCACTTGGCCAAGTCAATGACTAACCATCGTGAAACCTTTTCTGCCATCGTGGATCTCTACCTCGCGATCTGTCCTGCCGTCGTTCTCTACAATCTGCAGATCAATTTGATAAAGAAGGTGGCCCTCAGCGTTGCGCTCGCACTAAGTTCTATGTAGGCTTACACATTATATGTGGCAACATTGGCTTACGCTTGAATTAGTGCTGCAACCGTAGCTGTGTACAAGTCGACCCGACTACCAGCGCTTGCGAGTGCCGACTTTAGCTGTGAGTAGAGCCGTGGTCAGAGTCGACCAGAGATGCTAACACTAACATGTAGACAATACGACCGATATCACCATTTGGACCAGCATTGAGGGGAATGATATCATCATCGGTGCATAGATACCAACTTTGCAGTAACTATTTGACCACTTCTTGGGCCGAGGGCTGTTTGGTAGCTCTGGTGGTGAGCGGGATCGAAGTGGCTACAAATCGAATGGTCGACCTGGATTGAAGCTCGCTACGATCAGGAGCAAGACTCTTCGGTCAGCCAAGCAACATGGGAAGTCGAGTATCTCTGGAGCAACGCTGGGTCACGATGGCCAGGACAGCATTCTAGGCCCAAGCTGTTGGCCTGGTAGTCACGAGAGTAGCAAAGTCGAGTAAAGCTCCGGTATCACCTGAACACAACACCTGATGGTCGAGTACGAGGATGCGAGCGGGCAGGTGCGTCTATCAAAACAGAGTCACAGTTCTTGTGATATTCAAAGTTGAAGGCGAAGATTTGAAGCGGATTTGCAAAGTTGTAGGCCTGGCACTGTCGAGGGCGATATAGTGCCTGTAGAAGACATAGTAGGTCTCAGCTAGAGAACAACATATAAGTCTGCCCCAAAACAAGGAAACATAGATATCTGGACAAGGATTGATTCTTACTATGTAATTGCCCAAGTGGCTGCGCACCACGACCGAAGCCTCGATAGCGATTTCGACGTTTCGGGGTTGGATCTCGTTGTGACTTCACCTAGTAAAGGCAAATTTGGAGGCATAGATGGCAAATAATATTGAAGGAGTCGCATGCTTGTCCTAAGGCACAGGTACATTAGAGTCCATGCTTTAGTTACTGGCCCGGGCCGGGTGCACGTCAGTGCAACACAGGGAAATTTAGACCCGCCAATGTCAATAGAACGGCAAGCTTGTTTGCCGACTCCCGATGGCTTCTTGGCAGCTACTGTGGGTCTCTCTTGGAGTCATCCATGCAATGGATGCAGGATTAGATCACGTGCGAGTCATGAAGCCGTACACCATAACAGGCAGAGAGACCGAGTAGCGGTGGGTATTCACCATCTTAAATCGAGGACTTGATCTGAAGAGGAAGGTGGTGTACAGCGTACTACGTCGGTCAGTTGAACCGCTGTTCTCAGTTTGGGCTGGCGATGTATTGTAGAGGAAACAGCATTTGCCCGCGTCGAAATCTTGACCAGGAGGATACTCTTCTTCTCATCGGGATAGCTCACAGCCCTCCTCAGTAAGTTGACCACTGTGTCGTGCGTTGGCGCACTAACGAGGAACTTTGATCCATGCAGTTTTTCCAACGACTAGGACATGACAATGACAATCATAAGCGTCTTTCTTGTCCCTGGAGGGCGCCTTACGCCCATGAAGGAATGCTCTATCGAAGCTGCCAGCGCGGCATTCCGGAGTTTGTTCGGTGACGGAGCGGTCAATTTTCTCCAGTTTCCCCAGGATTATGACCGAAAGCGTCTCTGAACTTCCTCATAAGTTCTTGAAATTGAACTTGTTCCCTACTCCAAAGAATACGATTTGAGATCAACGCACCCTGGTACCTGCGATACCGGGTGTGGAACGCAGACGGTAGGTGAGGGTTGTTGCGATGGAGTATGCTGCGTCTCTGGGCCAGTTGTCGAGCAACTTAGGAAGATATCAGACTATATTTTTCAGTGAAGACATGTTCTATGTCCTCGCAGCGTCACAGCTGTGACATATAATCAAAACTGAAAAGGTTGCCATCAACTCCAATACTCCCGTAATATGGTACATTCACTCTCGACCCGGTTGTGGTCTCATCTCCTATGCGCAGACGTTCGTAGGCGAGGAAGCGGCAGGCGAAATGCTAGCATCGACAAGTGGGGAAAGCTCGAGCGGCGCATAAATGCGGGCGTCGTGATGCTGTGCGAAGCTGGGTGCAGTTGGAGTGCTGACGATGTAACGCGGTTGATGCCGTACGGGATAGAAGAGTAATGCGCATCAACGAGGCGTTCCGGAAGCAGCATGCCGTCCGCGGCATTCACTATGCGCTAGTTCCCAGTCACGTGGTCAGTTCCGAAGCACGCGTACAACTAGTGTCAGAGTGTTTGAGCAGCTCATAGTAGCTGTGACAAGTACATGTAAGCTCCATCTTACAACCATTTATGCTGTTAGGTTATTGCTTTTTTCGCCCTCTTGTGGATCATCGTGCGTCTTAGCGTCAAGTCCATATTGAGTGTCTAGCTCCTTTCTCAGGGGAATGCTTCTTTCAACCCAAACCAAGCAGAAACACACGATGCTAATACCCATGCCCAGCCACCATATCGTGCGAAGACTGCGCCGATATACTTCGATCACCTCGACCCAGATGTTAGGTGCGATAGTTCCCCGCACGACGCGCGCCTGGCTCGCAAAGCCATACGCTTGCCCACCAGATAACTGCTCTCGTAACGTTGGTGACGATATCAGTGCCAGATTTTGGTCGAAAACGCGGTTGAATATAGTAGCAGCGATGGTAACCCCCCAAACGTAACCAAATGTCCGCACGAAACTGTATGTTGCTGTCGAGGAAGCGACGTCCGTCTCAGGCAAACCGGCCATGATAGCCGGGAGTAGCGTCGATAGAGACATGCCTAGACCGGCGCCGACAATGAGCTGGAAAATTGCCCACCTCACTGTGCTCTCATCCAAGAGCGTTAGCAGACCAAATCCAATGGCGGCCGTTGCAAAAGATGCAGCATGCAGCATTTTGTACTGGTTGAGCTTCTCCATCAGCACGCCTGCAATGACAGCAAAAACGAGCATTCCGAACGCCAGTGGAAGGAAGTTGACGCCAGAACGCACAACTGTTGTTCCGAGTACGGCTTGGAAAAATACTGGCAAGAAGTAACCGGACGCCTGTACGAGGATTGATGACAGGAACGTCAGCGCAAAGGCGGTTGCTGAGGTTCGATTGCTGAAGAGTCGCTCCGGCACACTGGGGTAGGTTGCAAAGTGCTGCTGTATGTGGAAAGCGATCCAGCCTATGCCACCCAGTACCAAAGGGAGTATGACACGCCACGAAGACCAGGGATATTCAATACCGCCCATAACCAGGCCCAGTAACACCGCCAGAACGCTCGGTATGAATATGAGGTTGCCCAGAACATCAATCTCCTGCTTCTCGGTATGCTTCTGCAGTCGCATGAATAGCAGTATTGCGACGAGCGCAACGCTGCATATAGGAATATTCAAATAGAAGATCCACCGCCAATTTGCTTCGGCCAATGCTCCTCCAACAACAGGTCCCATTCCTGCTGCTAGACCGGACCAGCTAAACATCAATCCTAGATATTTCCCCCGCTCCCGCAGAGGCACCAGATCGCAGCACACGATATCGAGAAGAACGTAAATGCCGCCTGCCCCCACTCCTTGTATCGTTCGACCTGCGATGAGCATTCCTACGTTGGAAGCACCTCCTGCAACACCGCTGCCGAGCGCGAACAAGACTGTAGATGCGATGAAAGGCAGCCTGCGACCGAACACGTTTGCGAACTGTCCGAACAGGGGCTGTGGGACCGACGAGGCAACGACGAATGAATTGGCAATCCAGACATACTTTTCGGCGCCCCCTATCTCTGCTGTTACTGTAGGTAACGCCGTCATGATAATTGCGACATCAAGGGCGGAGATAAAGGACAAGATACATAACGCAACGAAAATGCCCCAAAAGCGTATCGACTTCTTGTTCTCTGGCATACTGGCAGAATGAGGACCTTCAAGCAACGCGAACAATAACGAGCCTGGAGATAACCTGCTCCAATTGTATGGAGGATTAAGTCAACCGGCGCACAGACATCTCACTCTCCACCGATCGTGTGGAACCGAAGTGCATCTAGATGATTCCAACATGTACGGTAAAGTAGTTGGTTGTACAGCAATTTAGTGCAACCAGCATCTATTGGTCATGAAGGCACCATGGGTCGCATTCCAAGGCCACAGTTGTGCGGCGCTTAGACATGCCAGGGGCGCTAACTTAATCAGCTTATGTTTTACCCATGGCCGTCTTCTACCATTTGATGCAGTTGACTATCGTGCCATTAGCCATGGATCATACCCGTTTCACCAAAGCAACGATTGTAGGATTCCACTCGATATGGAGATAAAACAAAGCATGTCTTGTCCTATCTACGCAGCTGTCGGCCTTCGACGTACTCGGATTTTTCCACCATGCAACGGTAGCTTCAGCCACACAGTATCCAAAGGCTTTGGTCGAACTGCCATGTGCTCAACGTCATAGTTTAGCAGCATGTGTGCTATGAAGACTTTCATCTCATTCAAGGCGAAAAATCGACCAGGGCACGCATGCCGTCCAAACCCAAAGCCAAGGAAAGCGTCATCAAGCGTAGCAGTTGACTTGCCCTTACGGTCGCTTGTGTCGGCTTTGGCAGTTTCGATATCGTCCTTCGTTGCGAAATTGTCGACAATGCTAGTAACATTATTCGGATCCGCAAAGCGAAACGCGTTGAAGCTGCGTGCTTGTGGATAAATACTCTCGTCATAATGGATCGGCTCCATTGGAACCGCAATCATGGTGCCTTGTGGTACATGAATGTTGGAGACCGGGAGCCGAATACCTTCCGGATGTACAACCTGAGCCTTGTTAATTTCGGATCTCCCACGTATAGCAGCATACATACTGTTCGCGGAAGCCCAACAATGGCGAATGGATTGAGCCTCATTGATTCGCGGATCATCGAATCAATGAGCTTCAGATCCCGTACCGCATCGCGCGTCCATACACCACCTGCCTTTGCAAGCACCGATGCAGCTTCGTCGCGTAGAGCGTCAACATAACCCATTGCTGGATCCGAACTGAAGAGATCCAGGATCACATTCTGCACAGTAAAGCTGGTCGAATGAAGAGAAATGTCGTTGACCAACAAGAGACGATGCGCTACTCGCTTCGGGTCCAGTTGCCCCACGTCTCCCTTTGCGGCTGCGGCGTAGCACTCGTCGATAAGCCATTGGAGACCATCTTTCTGGGATCGGGTAAGCATGATGATGTGGATCTCGTCAATGCAAGGGGCAGTCCTACCGGTGGAGTCCATCCACATTTCGCATCAACCTTGAACCGGGCAGTAGCGTTCAACCTCTCTGTTACGAAAGGCAGACAACCTTTCATCGCCTTTCGTCGCAAGTACCAGCAGGTTGATCCTACGAGGGCACCAGTGACTGGTTTCAGCGGTTTAGGTGTCGCATTGATAAGCATAGCGCCGGCGAAAATGCTCATTGCGTGATCCCTGAGATCGTTCAAAAACTGCTCGTCACGACCTACGATACGATCAGATTCGAAACCTTTTGTTGGACACTCCAATCAACTTACACAGCGGCGCGCCGCAGAAGGCGCCATTACTCGCACCAGCGATTAGCTTTAAACACGCATCCCATACAGCGACCTCTTTCCACTCGGTGTCGCCTTTTGCTCCCCACCACCGCTCAAAGCCTCTGTCAAGTTCATCGGCCATCAGCGGTGTTAGGTGCTCGAGATTTCGAGTAATCTGATGACGCACAACGTTGATCTGGAAATCATTGTCGGCTACCTCTTTGTCCCAAACTGTCCATTTCGTCTGAATGGTTTCACTCTGCGTCGCATGGATGTCGAGCGTGCTCTCTGGAAGTGAGTAAACCTTTTTTATCAAGCGTGGTGGGAGAATGATCATCGCTCCTCTATCTATGCTGGGCAGGATGAAAGGACTGTTCACGCTAGCAAACTAGAAGATTGATGATGAGTAGAAATCTACTAACTTCGAAGATGATCATACCTTGCGGTAACCCTCAAACGCCCAGTCCTGCGTCTTGCGGATGGACTTCAATGTCGCCCACACCCATTCGAACCATCCTTTCTGAAGACCCACGACTGGTAGCTCTTCCCAATGCTTCGACTCTACTTTCCCGAAGAATACCGCCCGGATTGCGTGGTAAGCTAGGAAGAGGACTGATAAAGGCACAAGTGCCTGCGTGGGCGTGATGATGAGCTCCATTCTTGGACGAGTCAAGTCATAGAAACCACGAGGAGCATTCGACACTCTAAACGCTTAAAGTATGCTGCTTTGCACAACTAGCCTTCAACGGCAGGAACTGTGCCGCCGTTCAAGTTTCTTCGGAGGCCCTCTACGTTAAACCGGATTTTTATTGGGCGTTGTGAAAGGAACAAGGATTTCTTGCAGCTGGTACGTAGCAGCCGAGTCCTCCCAATGAGCTAGCACTTTGCTTTGCATATATTGATTTCGAGCTTGCAAACGCGGCTGCTGACCTGGACGTCTTACCGAACATACCGTAAATTGCGGCGTTCACCGAGCAGCCCGAACCAATCATCGAAGGGTTGCTGATGCGAATTTTGCAATCGATAGGCCACCAGTGACCCATCGTGCTGGCGCGGCTGAGTGGGTCATAGAACCACACGATTTTCAGGGTAGCAAAGAGTTGCTCCGGTATTGCAGCATGCAATGCACTTACTACAGACTACTTACACAGGCCGTCGCAGTAGTTTGCACCCTTTGCGGAAGGTTGTACGACAGTGCGTCAACCGCGCGGCTCCACACACGGCTCGGGTCGGCAGACTTCCATATCTGGGATAGGCGTGGGGTCGTACACAACGATATCACAAATGTCTCGTCTTCCAGTGGCCTTGTTAGGTTTCATATGTTAGTCAAAACCAATACGTCGCTTCAAGACTACAACTTGAGAGCATATCGCCTGGGATCAGAAACAAGATCGTTGGCTACAGGACGATGCAAAAGCATAGTGGAGCTGCTCTCAAGGTAGTCTAGAAATGGACCCAACCATTATCAATCCGATAAACCTCGGCCAGAAGGAGCTGCGTCATGTGGCGCGATCTCTACAGATATTCGAGTGCATTTCGAACTTGGATGTGGAGATAGGCACATATTGAGCACCGATATCTACGGTCCGCGCATACGTATGCTATGTGCGCGCTAGTCCGTCGCTTCTCGAGTTGTGGCCAGAGCTTGCTTTCACATGGAAACCTCAATTACTCGCTATCTTCCGTTCGAGATCCAGTATATCCGCCTGAAGTCGATATATACGCCAAGACGCACCATGGTAGCTTAGAACTAGCTGCTAGGACTCTGGATTAAGGATTCTCTCACCGGTCCTTTTAAAGCATACTAAGACATGCAAGCCTCTCCGTATATCTGCAATTCGTATCGAGAGTACATTCCAGATATGTACATCAAAACCATTGGCTTGCTTCGCCATGCTTAAGCCAGTGCATATTCGCATGTGCGTGAGCATTTCTTCCCAGGATCCGAGCTGGGCCCGTGGGTGACCGCGTCATTTGTATCCGGACACGTGGGGAGGGTGCTGCATAATCGAGCGAAAACGAACCTATGGAGAAGCGGGCCTTCGACCTCATTGCGTGCAGGCAATACTACCCGCGATGTCACCTTTGCATCCCGCTGTCGATATATCCATATGCAATGACGATTAAACCCTGTAGCAACCTCAAAAGATCCTGGAAGACATGAAGACGTGTTAGATCACCTGGCCTCTCACACAAGGAGGACCGAGGTAGGTCCTTTTACTAGAAGCATTGCGGTCAGGGAACATACCGGCAAGTAGACTCTTTCTCCTCAGTCGCGTCGTTAGGTGCAGTTGAGGTACAGATCACGATTCAAGACCGACGTCGGATTTGACTCCACTGGACTCTTGATCCTCCAATCAGACGTAAGCCGTCGGTCTTATGTCCAGGTAGTGGTGCCGTGTGGGGCAACACTGCTTAAGCGCGCTTGTGCATATGTCATCTCTGAGCGCGATAGCTTGCCGTGCAGACGTTACCTATTCGCCGTCTTCTCGACAGCAATCAATCAAGGATTACGGCATGATTTAGCCGTATTAAAGGCCAAGGGTCCTCAAGAGGCTCTCCCGTCATTTAGCGCACGGAACGTTTCCTCATGTGGCTCTGATTCGCCCACTCGTTTGCGCATCGACCTTACATTAGACCCGCAGCCTCGGACCCGTCCAGACGTTCAACCGTTTTCCCCGATTCCCACACTACACCTTTGTGGATCGGACCGTTGGTCATTCCGGCCTGGTGGCTGCATACGCTTCGTGTTTTCTTTTGTAGTTGCATCGGGTGTACTTACTTTCTAGGATAGCAAACGCTGTGATAGCGCTAGGAAAAGGATCGGTTGCTCGCCTTTTTTTTTTCGAAAGCGAAACACGACGATAGGTGAGACTTCACGTCAAGTGACGCAGCTTGTGTAGTATGCAGGTGGGCTGATATTGATCGGAATTTACTGCAGGACAGCGGCACAGTTTAACTAACTAACAACGACTTTAGTTCACTTGCATAGAGGCTTAGACGTAATGTAATGGGTCGCTTCATCCGGCCATGCCGTGTAGCAGAACCTGTAGCTAGAGCACCGTGAAGATGGTAGCATAGTATATGTACCAATCCTAAACACCCCGCGTCCATTAGCCTCAATCTAAATTCTCACACCCAAACTTTACTGCCAGTATGGAGTTTCTAGAGATGCAGAGCATACATCTACCAGGTCTTAGCCCGTTAGCAGTTAATGCTGCGAGCAGCATATTCGGTTTGATATCGATTTTCTTTTTCTACAAAGCCTTGGTCGCGAAGAAATTGGTACGTATCGAATGCACACGGAGGAGTGTGCATCATACTGACAAGTTTACTAGGCTTCTTCTCCAGTAAGGATCCTGAAGATCATCTTCAAGCCTGTCACCAAGCGATACCAAGCATGGGCATATCTCTTCTGGGGCCCTGAGATCATCCAGAAGGCGTTCGACGAGGCAAAAGGAAAGCCATTCGAGCTCTTCGCCCCTGACAACCGCTATGTCTTCGTCTCTGACCCTCAGCAAATCAAGGAGCTAGACAATGCGCCAGATACGGTGCTGTCCCTTCAAGCAGCGTCAAAGCAGGTATGCATCTCGAAAGGCTTTGTTCTTCTTGGTAACTAACAAGATACAGATGCTACAGCCCCTCTACACCATGTAAGATAACCTTCGAGTATCTCGACAGCAATCATCTTGCATTAAACTCACTAACGCGCCATAGGCACGGCTTCAACTGGTTTGATCGACGTGGTACTGAGGGTGTTGGGTTCATCCGCGCCCTTCGCACGCTTTTGACCAACAACCTACCTAAGATCCTTCCTGACCTTACTTGTATCATCCGCACTAGGTTCCAGGAACTACATGCCGGACATCCAGTAATCAATGGTAATAATGCATCCAATACTTCAATTTTCATTCAAGCTGACGACGATCAACAGGAAAGAAGCATTCAGATGTATATCATATGACGGTTAAGTTGGTGGTTCTCTCCAATGCTGTATCTTTCTTCGGAAAGGATCTAGCAAAGGATGAGCAGTTCATGGTCTCCGCTCTCGCATACATTGAGGAGACCCTGATCTGCGCTGAGATCGTTCGCCTGCTACCTGGATTCATGACTCCTATCGTCGGTGGCATCATCGCCCGTACACTCAAGTCTCATGCCGTCATCTTCAACAGGCTTCTGCCCATCGCCCAAGAAAGATGCATCGAGCGAGATGCGGCTAAGCTAGGCCAAAAAGTCCCTCAACACGCCGACTGCATCCAATGGATCATGGAGACGTCGCCCAAGAACGCACCATGGACACCTCAACGCGTCGTCCACGAACTAATGGCCATTTGGTTCGGCTCTGTTCATGCCGTCTCCACAACCGTGACTTTTGCTATTCACGACCTTTGCTTGCATCCTGAGTACGCGGAGCCTCTGCGCAAGGAGTGCGAGTCCCAATACGCTGCTTTTGAGCAAAGCGGTGTGGGACTTCCGCTTCTCGACAGCTTCATCAAGGAGTCTGCGCGTTTGACGCCAGTCGAGTCACAGAGTACACGTCGTTCAGCGCTACAACCTTTCTCACTCAAAGACGGCACCCACGTCAACGTTGGAGATTGGTTCTGCACACCCGTCCGAGCCATCATGACAAATCCTGTCGACTACCCCGAAGCAACGACATTCAGCGGTTTCCGCTTCGCCGACCCGCAGCTGGTCAAGAGTCTCGAGAACGCCGACGGTGCTTTTGATATTATGCAGAAGAAGCCAACAAAGCTGACTGACTTTGACATGACGTTCCATGTCTGGGGAACCGGAAGAATGGCCTGGTGAGTCTTGAGCTTAGCTTCGCTGTTCGAAATGGAGATCTTGCTAACGACATGTATAGCCCTGGAAGGTATTATGCCTCAGCTGTTATGAAGGTCATCCTGGGTCAGGTTATTCTTAACTATGACTGTGAGCTCGTCGACCCGACGGCGAAGCGCTTGTTCACATGGCGATCGACTATCTTGCCCAAGCCTAGTGCGAAGGTCGTCTTCACTCCGATAGGTGACGCGAACTAGAAGAGCTAGAGATGCATGAGAGGGTCAACTATTTACGCTCGCTGCTGGATATGCAGAACAACGATATAACGAATGATGGAGGCATGTTTGTTTGCTGTTTTGTGGCTGCACGTTTTTCCTAGTTGTAGATATCACACAACAACTGATACATATGAACATACGCAATGTCGCATTTGTAACGCCCATTGCTGCTTCAAGTGCCTTGGTGATTCAAGAAACTCACAATCTTCACCCGACATGACGTCACATGTCATAGACCGTGTGGTTTTACCTTCAATATACATTAAAACGCTGGGTATTAAGAAAAGACTCGCTGAACGCCGCCTCACTGCCAAATACCGAACGTATTTAGTAACCTTCGCTTAGTAGCGCACTGGGGCTGCAATGGTAAAAGAAAACCATAAGCACTGCCGGTTCTCGGTCCGATTCAATAGGACTAAAAAAGCCACCGGTAGCTCAGAGCATTCCAATTCGGACCACGTCGCAATTCGTAATCCAAATGTGGAGCTACGTTGCAACGGCCACACTCTTTCTAGTCCGCGGGCACTAGCCATGAAGAAGTGGCAACACCTTAGCCACCATTCGCACGGGCAGCAGTGCCACTCCAATGCCCCAGAAGCAAGAAAGAAAAACAAGAAAAGAAAAGAGGCAATCTAGATCTCAACGGTTAGCCAGAATCCCAATAATTGGACGCGGTCCGTACTTCGTTATCCGAGTCACCTAGACTCGGTCCATTCTCCATCAACGCGTCCTTAAATGGACGTTCCCAACCCACCATAGTCCAAGAGACACTTTTCTCTTCAACATTTACAAGCCCAGCCCTCCGAAAGGGTATCGATGTCCAGCATCCTCAAGGAAGCTATGACCGGTCTGGCCCTTGGTCTGCTCAGCGCTGTACATACTGGTGTTTCGCACCATCCTCGCTCCAGACTGAGGGTGCAGCAAACTGCTGTCTGACTGAGGGGTTTTGAAAGGCATGGCATCAGCAGTGATGTTCAGTTTGTTCCATTCAGCCCATGTATCGCCATTGCGGTCCAGCAAACTGCTATCAGAGTTGTTGCGGCGTTGGGCGAGTGGAGCGAGGTGAGGGTTGCTTGCTACTCTGAAGCCGCGCTGCAATGCTGTCGCGTTATCTGCGTCCCCACTCATCACGGCACGGCCGATGAAATCATTGTAAGGTGGTGGATAGATGGCGACTTCACGGCCTGGGCCGTCAGTGATTGTGTTCTTCTTATTGCGAGTTTCGATCAGGACTTTTGGGAGTTCCAGTCGCGGCAATGGAGGTGGTACAATCTTTGGTCCGGAATCGCTGCGCTCCCTAACCCAAGAGATGACCGAAACAGGCTGTTCGGGAGCTGACTGAGGAGAGCTGCTGGACTTTTTAGTCTCGGTCTGACCTGACTTACATCCCGCGAAGAGGTTAACGATCCACTGATGCCATGATCCTAGAGAGGGTGCTGTTGTGCCCTGCACTACCTCTGGGGCAGAATTCGCTGTAGGAGTTGCCGTCACTGGAGTCAAGTTTACTGTAGTAACTGCAGCGGCTGGGTATAAGTCTGCTGTAGTAACTGTCGCCGCTGATGACGAGCCTGCTGTAACATCTGCCGATTCTGATAATAAATCCGATGTAGTATTTGCCGACACTGATGAAAGATCTGATATAGTATCTGCTGTCACTGATGATGAGACTGCCGTACTATCTGGCGCCGCCGACAATGAGACTGCCGTAGACTCCTCTGCCACTGTTGATAGATCGGTTCTCGTCTCTTCTACCACTGGCGATGAATTTACTATTGTGTCCTCCGCCACTTGGGATAGATCTACCGTATCATCTTCTCCCTCTGGAGATGAATCTGTTGTAGTCTCTGGTGCTACTGGTAAAGAGTCTGCCGGAAACCAATCTGTCGGCCACGACCATAGTGGTGCCTGTAACAGAAGGGAGTTAGATGGGTCGCAATCCTCATCTGTGATGCTATCTGGCGCATCTAGACTGGCTGGGATAGATGGAACACAGGAGTCTTTTGGTTCAACTGGATGACCGCTCTGAGAAGCGCCGCCCAACTCGTGATCATGCTCATCTGCATTACTAACGGCAACGTTTGGCTTATTTGAAATGAGGGGAGCTCTGCAAAGTATTAGTGCAGTTCGGAGACCGCTTTTGAAGGCGCCATCAGACTCTTGATCATCTGTAGTTAGCACACGCTTCTTGAGGAAAGGTCTCGCGTCCTCGTCAACAGGATTTTCATCGTCATCATAGTCGAAGTTGTCAGATTCAACAGAGAGTGTGTACACTGAGCCAGTCAGCGGGTTCATCTGGTGACAGCAGCGTTCAAAGTAGCGGCGTCTACCTCTAGGAGCCTTTGTCGGGCCATGCGCGTCGTTGTTTGTCGGTTTTGCTTTCGGCGTCACTGGGCGCTGCTTGTTGTTTTTCCCGCCCTGTTTGGCTCGGCCCTGGAATTGAACGCGGGATGTGACTCTGGGGATCGTCATGGCTCGAGCGACCTTTGGAGTGAAGGAGTCGAAAAAGGGTTAGTGCATGCCAGTCACAGCACGAGCGATGCGAGTGCGGCAATGCTCGAAGACCTATGAAGAGCAAGTTGAGATTAGTTGTAGACGCGCGTGTTGTTGTGTGTAGGTTAACAGTAGCTACGCGTAAAGATTTCCACAGTGTTTGCGCTGTTCAACAGCGCAGTGCGCGTCGCTACAGCGCCATGCGCAGGTGAATGCGTCTTTGGACAGAGATTGTGATTCTGGGAGGCAGTGACGACGTGGTGAAGGGGAAAGTGGAAGGTGACTTTTGTTGACAGAGAGAAATACGTATACAATCCTCACCGGTGGCTATATTGGAATACAGCTCGGTGAAGGTGAGTTGTTGCAGATGATAGTCTCTCGGATACATGATGGTAGTTCAAGGGCCTGAATGACACGATACTGCCACCTGCACCGCCAGACGGCAGGCAGCCTTGACATTGGATTGTTCGTGAAAGCGTCGGATATGCATTCTAAGATGGTCGTCCAAACTCTCATTGGCGTTTAGTTATGTATAGCATGGTTCGTCAATCATCACATGCGGCCTGTTACCGCTCCGCTCAACGGGATAGGACTAGAAACTCATAGATCTTCATGCGTTGTCTGCGCAAATGTATGTGACTGCACTTGAGTTAGTATAAAGCGGGGTGAAAGCCAGTGTAGAGAATTAGATACCGTTGTTACCACGGACGAAAGCATCTCCCCAATTCCGGGTGACGCGTCCCTCAGAGATCTCCTTGCATCGTTCCAATGCGATGTTCATGTAGCCATCTACTGATTGGAGATCACCTGCGTAGATATTAGTAGTTGGTATACATCAAGGGCACGTGGAGGAGCACCTTTGTAGATGATGCCAGAGTTCAGCTTGACAGTGACAGGAGCTCCAATGATCTCACTAAGGAAGCCGCTAGGATCTCTTGAGTCGCCTGCAGCTTCGGGTGCTGGGCTTTCGCCGTTGGTGGACATGGTGATGAAGCTGGTGATGTGTGATTTCCTGGCAAACATTTAGCAACTTGTTACGACAGGTAGTAAAGAAGCTTACGTAAGTGTTTGAGCAGGCGTGAGCTGATAATTCTCGAATTCGGTCGCTGGTGGATAAGGAAGTGGAAAGACGGCGATGTTGGGTGGTGGAAAGGAAGAGTGCACAGACCACGTCTCTTCCTCATCTATCACGAGAAGCGTGACTGCGCGTTGATGCCCCACCTGCATTTGCCCGCGCCTTCCCCAACATCGAAACCATCCTCTCCTATACACTATCTCAGGGTAGTGCGATACCTCCTTCACCCAACTTGGTTGCTCATGGCATCGCGCCAACGATGACCGACAAAACCGCGAGCGCCGCACCCCCCAAGAAGCGCAGCCTGTTCAAGCGGGCAGCATGGCAAGATGCGCCCAAGAAGGATGGGGAGGACATGTTCAGCCACTCGAATGAGTTCAGCGACATAGTCGCCGAGCAAGCTAGAATACGGGCAGAAGAGAAAAGAAAGCTGAAGCGGCCAGAAAGCGCAAACATTCAGAACCACGCGACCAAAAGCGGCGTCGCATATCAAACGACAATGAAGAGCCTATCCCAACCAAAAGCAGCTCAGCCAGCAAGGAACGAGCAGGCAGGAACGCTAGCAAAGCGTACGTATCGTGCGTCTCGTCTAGCAATTACTACTGACAATTGGTCAGGCGCAGCATAACCCCCTCTCTCCAGCGCCATCGCATCTCCCACCCGACTCGCTCACCGCACGCTACGATTCCCTGACCAAATCCGCATCCTCGAGCATTTCATTACCACAAAAGAATCAAACGTGATTGATCTGGGCGATTCAGACAAAGATGACGACTCAGGCTGCGTCTCTAAGCCTTACAATGATAACCCTGCGTTGGATTACACGTCGTCAAATTCCGTCTTCAAGCAAGATGTAGCCGTCCGGCCATCGAAACCACCTCCTATAGAGATCAAAGACGACGAAGACGAAGACGACGAAGACCTCGACCCCGCATTCGCTGCACTGCGGGCTAGGGCGCGGGCGCGCGTCGCAGCAGCCAAGGCACAAGCAAATGGTAATGCTCCGAAAGCGCCTATAGCGCAGCTGTTCATTGATCCACAAATGCCGGACGCGAACCCATTGATGGTCAAGGTTAGAGTAGACACAACCATTGGGAAGCCACGGCTGGCATGGTGTGGAAAGGAGAAGTTTCCGGATCAAATGACACGCAACGTCTTCTTTACATGGAAAGGCACACGTCTCTACGATAGCACATCGATACAACGGTTAGGGATACAGGTAGACGTCAATGGGAACGTATCCGTCGAAGGAGACTCCAACATATACGATGACATCAACCTCCCCAAGATCCATGTCGAAGCTTGGACAGAGGAGATCTACAAGCAGCGAAAGAAGGACGACGCCGCTGCAGCTATAGCGAAGAAGCTGGCAGCCGAAGCAGCCTTGGTGACGAAAGAAAGGACTCCAACCCCGGAACCCGAACCTGGACCCGAAGAGAAACGCTTCCGCTTAATCCTTAAGGCGAAAGGGCACTCTGATTTTAAGTTGACGGTGAAAGAGGTATGTCCAGGTTGTCCCTTCGCAGTGTGCCAAGACTTGAGACATCAAGTATCATAACCTCTGTCCATATTCTAACTAAACCATTAGAACACCACTATTGCTCATATTGCAAGCGCTTACAAATCTCGTCTCAAAATTGATAAGAGCCAGCCAGTCACACTCATGTTCGACGGTGATCGACTAATGCCCTTGGACACGGTAGCCGACTACGATATGGAAGACGAAGACGCGTGCATGATTGAAGTTCTCTTCAAATGATAGTATTTTCTTGTTCGGTTCACACGCACCATTTTTCCCCACCCAACTTATTCCTTGAGAGTTGGATTCCTGCCTATTGTGGCATTGATTTTCTGGTATGACTGCAAGCAAGGCGTTGGCGGCGTATCGCACTCGATATGACCCTTTGTTACACATGGATAGCTACAAAGTTGGTTTTGGCCATGTCTTTGTTGATTTATAGAGACTTCTCAAATATTGGGATTCTTTCTCCGGTTCGCACCACCATCCAAGATCAACTCTTGTCCACTCAAGAAACCTGCACCCATGACGTACTCAACCATTTCAGCAAGATCTTCTCCCCTACCCACTCTGCCGGCCGGATGTTGCTTGTGATAGAGTTCGTCCAGATCCTCTGCCCAAGCCTTCATCCTCAGCTTTACCGCGTCCTCCTCGTGCGGCGCAACCTCTTTATATGATCCGTTCTGCGTCTCTTTGATCTGCAAATCACGAGCTTTGCACTCGTGCTGCACGCTGACCCAACCTGGCGAGATGGCCATGACTCGGATACCCCAGCGCTGGCACGAAACAGACATGGCTTGTGTGAGGGCCAACACGCCACCTTTGCTCGCAGCATAGCCTTCGCAGTCCGGGTCTGACTGATGGGCGCGAAAGGAGGCAACGTTGATGATGCAGCCTCCCTCTTCCAACTTGTCCTCGCCATGAAGGTTCAGTGGCAACTGGTTGAATTCCTCCGTACGCTTCAGATCCCTCGACCGATCAACTCCTGGTGTACCATCTTTCTGTGTGTTCTGGCTCTTCATGAAAGGGATGACGGCTTGGCTCATGTAGAAGGGTGCACTGAGATTGGTAGCAATGTACGCTTCCCATTGCTCTCCCGTAGCAAGGTCCTCCATAGTACCGTTGCCTGCGTTGAAGAACCCTCGAGCTACTCCGGCATTATTGACCAGCACATCTATGCGGCCGCCGAAGAAGTCAGCGGCTTTGGCGACTGCGCTACGGATTTCCTCTGGGTTGCGGAGGTTGGTTATCGATGAGCTGACGCGTGGTGCGTAGGCGGCTAGGTGTGTGTTCACTGCGTATTCAAGCTCTTCCGCGTCGAAGTCGATGATAAAAACGCGATGCGATGCTGGTAACGATAGCAAGTGTCGCGCTGTGCAGCGACCAATCCCTCGCGCACCGCCGGTAATGATGATATTCTTGCTTTTAGTAGACGGCATATTGAAGATTTGAACTTGTGAATTGCGCAAATGCAGAGCCTGGAAATATCGATCAAACAGAGGCTCCCTGTATCTCTTATATCGACGTCGAAGACTTTCCGCGTTGGTGGCGCCTCACGCGCAAGCAATATCAAGTAACAAACAGCGGGGACGTAACACCCTTTCAGCCTATTCAGCCCACCTTGGCTTATCCAGATAAAAGCTCAAGGCCGTTTGTCCGCGAAATCTATCTAACATACAGACATAGGTGTGTGATTGTGCACCGTTGTTGAGAAGGTTTAGTCGGCCTGCCCTGCATGTGATGGTGTACGTATCCCGTGGGTTGGAAGCAGGCCCGCGGTTCCGTTGCTTTACGGCCTAGTTTGCTCCATCAAAGTGTCGTTGGATGACTGCATAGCGCTGTACATACTGCCTCGGGCTCACCGTCTGAGCATGCTAAGCGACAAGTACTTAAGGTGCTTGGGAACCGTGAAAGGGGTACGAATTTCGGAAAGACGGAGCGGCTTGCGGGCCGTAAATTGTCCACCAAAGGAAAGCAAGGAGCATTGGTGCAACTTCAGGCTCTGCTGTTATTTACAGGTCTTGGACTTTGCAAAATATCGTTTTTCGCTTTCCTGCAATACTGCGTGAAGTACTTCACGCGGTGGCTAGGAGATCCACTCCTCCCGTCTTATCGTTTTTACCGAGGTTAAACTGGAAGGCACAACTGCTATCGCGACCACTCATCACTCATCTTAACTATCACTGTTCATTATGTCTTGTTCGCATGGTCCCACAGCGTATCGTAGTAGGACTTTTATGGAGCAACCCACTTAGCTGAGCAATACACTGCTCCTGAAAGACGGGCACGTTTCCGACGCCCGCAGTTTTGCTCTTCCTACGTCACGTATGGATTGCCAAATGTAGGCCGTACTGAAGCCTGCCTGATCGTAGTTCTTTTGTTGATGTCTTCTATGATGATTCATATCGTCCCGCACCATCTGTTCTCTAGCTATCAGAACTCTTTTCGTCGGATCGAGGAAGCGGGCGGATGACTTCCTGTATTCGTGTTACTATGGATAGACGATCGATTGCATTTCCAACGATGAATCCGAATTTTGGGTCGACCGGAAAGAGTACACAAAGACAGTCTCTTTCACATGTGCTTCAAGTTATGCAGCCACGTAGGTCAGTTCTTACGGTACTTCAAACAAGAACAAAGGAGCTACATGTCTAAGATATTGGTGGAGCTCGCAGTGATTCAACGATCGTTCCTGGGAAGAACATCACATTTATATTTGATGGATCATCAGAACGGAACGCCTACGTTGATCAAGTGTACTACCTCATAAGTAACAAAATGCGTGTCGCCGTTTGTGCAACTCTTTTGGCCGCAGTTCATGGTCTCTCATCTCCAGTCCACCCTGTAGACAGGAAATCAAAAGATGGTCAACTTGTATCGCGTTTAATCGATTTTCTAGAAACATACGCAAGCCTGCTACTTCCAACAACATACAGCGACTCTAGTATACACACCTCACATCCAACATTAGCATCGAACTCTGCAGCCACTTCCACTATTATCCAAGATGCGCTTCCTACTACGACTACAGAGTCATGTCATTCCACCATCACGAGCAACTCAGTGCTAGGAACTGGAAATTATGCTATATCGATATGGACTCCTGGTATGCTGTTTGGCTCTGGTCTACCCGGTCCGGCGCCTTCTTCAACTGTGGTTGCTTCCACGGGGCTGTTACTGACTTCCTCCGGGGATGCGTGGCAGTGGCCAGTTCTTTCCAGTTCAGTCGTAACAACGGCTAGGCCGCTATCTCCAGGCCTCCTCGTCAGTGTCTCACCGAGCGCAGCTTCCTCGAGACCAAGCTCGGGTTCTGACTCAAGTTCTGCATCTCAGTACCTACCGATATACCCAAGTTCGTCAGCTGTTTCCTTTGATCAAGCTCCTTTGCTTTCGATTCCAGTAGTAACTATGTCGACAACCGCAAACGTTACCATCAGCTTCTCGTCAAGCGCAACTTCTCCAAAGCCACATGCAAGCTCTGCATCTCTTTCCTTGAAGAATATATCCCAGTACTTACCGGCCCACTCAAGCGTATCGAGCCTTTATTGCAGTTCGGCATCACTCATATGGAGTCCAGTGCCACTACCCACAAGCTCTGTACCTTCATTTCCAACCTCCATATCTAAGAAGCCAGTAAATACATCCTCCCATGAAAGTCTTTTCGGTCTTCCCTTGCACTCAAGCTCACGAGCTCGGAGCTCCATCATGACGATCATTTCACTCTCAACAGCAAAATTCACACCCGTAATCGTCGTGGTACCCATCACCACGGTCAGAAGACCATCAACGTTGACGGCAAGCTGTATCAGACCGGTAACACCCCTAAACTCTATCCTCTCTCTGGCTAGCGGCCAACCCCAAGCCAACCAGGCGTCTAACGAAATCTTTCCCGTCCTTAAGAGAGAAGCCGTCGAGACAGAAGACTTACTTAGCTACTCGCTACTAAGTTTGACTCGTTCACACAATGCCAAACACACCCCACCAAATTGTCGTTTACAGTACAAATACTAACTCAACCACAGACCTCGAAACTGATGCCTAAGAAGCCTACGTCCACGATGCATTTTTTCACACTTAAAACTTCTCTTCCGCCTAGCGAAACCTCGACACAAGATACCGACCCTGCCGTTATCACGAGCGTAATAACTCCCGATTCGCGCTGTCCATATCCTTACCCGGGGATCTACTGTGGCAAAATGAAGACGACATTGATAACGAAGACGATTAAGACGAAGAAGAAGCCAAAGACTAGTGATCCTGAGTGTCCTTATCCTGGCCACGAGATTTTGTGTTAAGAATACATTTCGTGGCTAATGAGAGAGTTTAGTACCGTATCGCGTACGAGTTTGGCGGCTACACGGACAGTGGCACCGGTTATGGTCACGGAGGCGGTTTTGACGTCTGTTGCGGTGGGTGTATTGAAATGAGTTTTGGGTGGGAGCGATGAGTGTGAGGTGGCTTATCTTTTGTGTTTATCATTCCAAATCTTCCTATCCTCTCGTTCTTCGTCCTCCCCGTGTTTAACTATTTTCCACGTCCTTCATTACTACCACATCAGTATGGAACTCTTCTCTACAGTAGTTGCTTCGCAGCTAATATAAACACAGTATCTTTACAGTGACCCGCTTCATCTCCAACAACTTCAGCAGCTATCTACCTTGTTGCAATCCCTTCCGGAACCTTGTGGCCAGCACACTCCTGCAGCAGCCTGTCTTGTACATTCTTGGCAGCATGCGCATAAGCCATAATGTCAACATCCGTAGCCTTGCCATCTGCACCTCCGTCAAAAACCTCGTAGCTGAACCAGCCTCTGAATCCCGTCTTGAGCACTGCCCTCGCAACGTCAGCAACCGGTAGGTAACCTCCGTTGTAAGGTAGAGGTCTAAAGTCGTGACTCCATCGTCCACGAGGCAGCAAACCTGCATCGTCACGCTCATCATTGAAGGCTTGGGGGACTTTGTAGGCATCGCTAATTTGCAGGAGGTAGATCTTGTCCTTGGGGATGGTGGAGCTCAGCTCCTCCAGGCTCTTGTGGAATCGCTTTTCCATCTCGTCTCTTGATACATCTTCTCGCAGACCAGAGGCCGTCCTAGGATCACCCCACTCTCCACCAGCAGTCTGGAAAGTATCAAGACAAAGGCCGATGTTTGGACGGTCTACCTGCTGGACAATGGTCCAGACATCTTTCCAGTCAGGCGCGTGCGTCGACCAACACCAGTTCTCATAGGCCAATCGGAAGTTGTGTTCCTTGAGCATGTCGCAGAGAACCTGGAGGTCGGAGACCATTTTGCTTTTGTCTAGCTTCTCGAGTGGTGAATCCGTCGATCCGACTTGCAGCAGATCTGTCCCGCACGCCTGCATGATGCGGACCCAGCCGCGGGCCCGCTCCATGGCGTCTTTGCGGCCATCGGAACCTTCGGGCCAGCCTTCGTAGTTGGCAAACGGCTGCAACATCATGATCCCGAGGTTCCTTTTATCGCACTCCTTTTTGATCTCGCCCGCTACTTTGCACAGCTCATCGTAGTTGGACGGTTCGACTTCATGGCCGAGTAGTGTTTGGCCATAGGAGAGGATGTCCGGGAAAGAAAGCTCGACGGCGGTGAAGCCTGCGGCGGCTATGGCATTTAGGCGGTCAAGGAGAGGTGGAGGGTTTGATGGTGATCCGAGCGAGCATGTTGCGTAGCTAATAGGGATGTTTTGAAGGGAGGTATAGTCGAGGCTGCCCATGATGAATTATATTTGGGATGATTGGAAAGTGTGAGAGGAGTTGTATTGTGACAGCACAATGTAGAAGTCGAGATTATGTATATGGGTGGGAGGGCTGTAGATTGGCCCGCAACGGCTTCTTCGGTATGGCATGGCTGTGACGTATGTATAGCTGGTGGAGTAGCAATGACGGCACGCTTGTCAAAGCCTAATGGACAGCTCGTACAAACTCTTTTCGGCCATCAAAACATATCCATTGATATTTAAGAAGAGTCAAATATCGGCTGGCATTTATCATTGAAACCCAAATATGGTATGTCAATACTCATCTCGGTGGAGGTCTCAATAAGCCCCGCGGCCATGATGCTTGCGAAAACCCTCTCTACTTCTGTATTCAAATAGCTGTGAAGGCATCGTATTGGAAACCATCTAGTACTATGCAATATTCCTCAAGTAGGTTTGAGTATAGGGCCGAATATCGCTCTTCAGAATTAATTGCATGCGCCAGGGCGTGGCCGAACCGGCGATGACGATGGAGGCTCGACCCCGCGCCACCTAAAAATCGGCGCGAATGCCCCGCCCATTGACCAATGAGGACGCCCCCGACTCGGCCGTCATACCAGAAAACATTCGACTCATAAGGGTCTTGGTCGCCTGCAAGGAGAGGAAAGGCAAATAAAACCACAGTCACCGTCCTGTTTAGAGCTTTCGACTCTGGTTTCCTTGCATATACCCGAGAACTATCTAATCTTCTCTCCGTTGTTTCCATAGACATGTCTGTATGTACACCAACATTCACAGCTGCCTCCGGTCCTACTTTCTAACACGTCGTCGCAGTTCCACATCGAGAACAAAGCCGTCGGCGACCGCACAACTCGGAAGATTGGCGCATCAAGGGCTACAATCCCTCACACCCCGACCTTCTTCAGAGCGAGATCCCCCAGACAGCCAAGTCAAGAGACACAGTGCTCAAGGCGCGTGACGAAGCTGTTGAGATTGTCCAAGGCAAAGATGCACAGAAGCGGTTACTCGTCGTCATCGGCCCGTGCTCTATCCACGACCCTCCCGCCGCCCTCGAATACTGCGACCGGTTGATGAAGCTCAAGGAGAAGTACCAGGATGATCTCCTCATTGTCATGCGCTCTTACTTGGAGAAGCCGCGCACGACTGTAGGCTGGAAAGGTCTCATCAACGACCCGGACATCGACAACAGCTTCAAGATCAACAAGGGCCTGCGCATCTCAAGACAGCTCTTTGCTGATCTGACTGAGAAGGGAATGCCTCTGGCGAGCGAGATGCTTGATACCATCTCCCCCCAGTTCTTGGCCGATATGTTCAGTGTAGGCGCAATCGGTGCCCGGACTACAGAGTCGCAGCTTCACCGTGAGCTTGCTTCGGGTCTGTCCTTCCCGGTTGGTTTCAAGAACGGCACAGACGGTACCCTCGATGTCGCTATTGACGCCATCGGCTCCGCGAAGCACCCCCACCACTTCCTCTCCGTCACCAAGCCTGGCGTTGTCGCCATTGTCGGCACCATTGGCAACGACGACTGCTTCATCATCCTTCGCGGTGGAAAGAAGGGCACAAACTACGATGCGAAGAGCGTCAAGGAGGCGCGCGAGAAGCTCGAATCCAAGGGCATGAACTCGCGTTTGATGATTGACTGCAGTCACGGCAACTCGGAAAAGAACCACATGAACCAGCCCAAGGTTGCGCATGCGGTTGCTGAGCAGATCGAGGCTGGAGAGACGGCTGTCATGGGTGTCATGATCGAGAGCAACATCAAGGCTGGCACTCAGAAGGTCCCCAAGGAAGGCAAGGCTGGCCTCGAGTACGGCATGTCCATCACTGATGCATGCATCGACTGGGAAACCACCGAGACAGTGCTCGCCGAGCTTGCTGGCGCTGTCGCCAAGAGGAGGACTCTACTCAGCCAGAACGGCACCAACTAAAACGTCTTTTTCTCTTCAGGTACTATGGTCTGCAGGCGCGGCGTAAGGATGGTCTCGGCGTTGTCACACGTGTCAATAGCGAAAAGCATATATACGGGCTTGGTGTACGAATTACGATTTAAAACATTACAGGCAAAAGACTACAAGTCATTACAACTCAATAGTTTCAGGCGCATCTTCGTCACCATCATCTGTGCTGTGCCCGGGATACTTGTCATACCAGTCTCGTGGGTTACCGCCTGGCAGACATAGGCCCAGTCGCCAGAAGTAATCACGATGGGCAAAGAAGAGCTGCCAGAACTTGAAGCGAGTAGGCACGCCCCAGGCAGGCTTGTCTTGGTCGCTCCCAGCAATGCAGTGCGCGTCTTCGTCGCCATCGCAGTAGTGGATGTCGGCAACTGAGAAAGGCAGGCTTGACTCGGATATGAAGATCTCGTCACTGTGCATGCTGAAGCCCCATTCCGATAGCGGTAGCAAAGGTACGGGGTCTCCGACGTGAGTGACACGGTGGAGTTTGTTGCGTTCGTGGTCCGAAGTGATGCTGAAGCGCTCATCCACATACTTGTTGAATTCCTTGTTGCCAAGTCTGGGTTCGCCAAAGGTTGTCACGTAGGGATCCCATCCACGAGCCTTGAAGTCTAGCCCGGCAAGAGTCGCAATGGCGCCACCCAACGAGTGTCCCACCAAGACCAGCTTGTAATCGGGATGCTTGTCCATAGCCTTGGACACATGTGGCAGGACGACGTTGCGGGTATTGAGCCATGAAGAATAGAAGCCGGTGTGTACAGTACAGTTGTCGCACTTTGGTGGATCAGCAGGTGGCGTGTCTTCATCCACGTCTAGTCTCGGTGCGATATAGTCTGAGGTGTCATCGTCATCGTCGCCTGGATATGGGACGTATTCCTGCGGTATGGTGGAGAGGTCGGCGATGGTGTTGGCAACCGAGTAGGTGCCGCGGAAGGCGAGGATCAGGCGCGGGTTGGTAGGAGAATGCGACAGAGCGATGTAGCCGCAGGAGTCAGACAGGAAAGGTCCAGTATTCCATGCCTAGATATATCAGCACCTCATGCGACACATTGCTGGATGCGGCGACTTACTGTAACCAACTCGAACGTCTCAAAGTCGCGATCTCCGCAGTGGCTGAGGCACTTGAAGGGCTTCTGAATGCCTAGGCCGGCCGTGCCTACACAGTAGGATATATCGACGATGCGCGCAAGTTCTTCGAGTTCCCAGAACAGCTTCTGGCTGATTAGGGTTTCATTACCAGCGGCTGATGCACCGGGTAGGGGCTGCTGCGTCGCATCACCTCTGCTACTGGCAGTACAGGAGGCGACGAGCACAAAGTAATACAGAAAGAGGCCGCGTAAGAAGCCCATCAGTAATGTCGCTTCACATATCCACAGACTGCGTGGTATTGGAGGATAGGCTTGGTGGTGAGGTCAGAGGACGGATGCGGTCACTAGTTGGGTAAATCAGGTGCTCGAAGCGTCAGCGCCGAGGCGTCCAAGCAGACGCCAAGACCGTCGCAGTAAAGCGCGAACCTTGGAAGAGGGTGACATCATAGGGCGACCCTGGAACGAAAGCATCTGTCTGGTTCATATTTGCGGGCTACGGCCTGCACGCTGCTGACCTTATACCAACCACCCTTTCCCTCCAAGATACGCCATCCCCCCAAGATACGCCGACGCATTGTCAAGACATAATCACACCCGTTGGCATCCGGATAAGACTCGACCAACTCTTCTTGTTCCCGCCGCTCCCGTACTTTCCCCCCTGGGCACCCCATCGTGCCATCGCTCCACACAATGGCTACACTACAATCGTCGACAGAGCCCTTGAGGCCTGTGACGCCTCAAACTAATGCATCGCGGCCAACTACCGCAGGACAAGCAGACACGCTGCCAGTACCTGGCGTGCACGTCGACGGTACTAGCGACGACGAAAGACAGCCGCGTAGCACAACACCCGTCAACAACTCTGCCAGCCTCAACCCAAGCGCTCAACCAAGTCGAGCCCCGTCGCCAAATCCCCAAGCTCAGTTTCCCCACACCCAGGTCACATACGATGATCCCGACTTCGCCCGCCCACCGCCGCTGAAATACACGCTGCGCACTCGCAAGAAGTCCATCTTTTGGTTCTGGACTCTCATCATCCTCGACTGCGTCTTCATGCCCATCGGCCTCTACTTTGGCATGTGGTATGGCCTTACGCGCGATCAATTATCTGCCAATGCCGTCTTCAGTATCAGCACCGCCCTGCTCGGAACCGTGTCGATTGTCGAGTACTTTATCCGCTTCCATAGGTTATGGAAGAAGGGCTCAAGCTGTAGGGTTATTGGTGCGCAAAGATGGTATCTCGATTGGTTCCATTGGAACTTGTCCGTCGGCTGGTTCTTTGTCATGATTGAACTCATCGCGTAGGTTTTTGCATCGTCCCAAGTAAGCCCAGCTAACAATTTGCAGTGGTACATGCCCTCACGATCCCCCCATTCGCGTCCTCGCTATGCCGGCCCCGACCATGCTGTTTGCGATCGGTTGCGAACTCCTACTCGTTGACATTTTGCGCTACATGAACGTGCCTGCACCCTGCCGCATCTCTTCACTACCCCAGGGCGCGGCGCTCCGACCCGGCATCTACGCCTACATTGAAGATATTTGCGCTGTTGACGGATCCGGTGGCACTGAGTTCCGTCAGCGATTGAACCTCCGATACACGGCCAGCAAGGGCTTCCGCATGATGCTGCACCGCTTGACACTCTTCTGGGCTATTGGCGCCATCATCACCGCTGTAGTTTGCACAGCCATTATTTTCACTATCCAGCGAGACGCTGCCTACGTTGTATGTCCAAGTGATATCTACAGTACTCTATCAACACTAACAGCACACAGGTCGGCTGGGTTCTGCCCTTCCTTTGGGCTGGTGTCTGGACTGCCATCACCATCCCCTGGGTCCAACGCGAACTCAAGAAAGAGTATGAAGAATGGACCACCGCAAACTTCAAGGCCTAGAAGGTTTAGATTTCCCTTTGTTTATTCATGTCCCACTTGTACAATATCACATATATCACTA